CGGACATGACTGAGACTGGTCAGGCCATTTAACTCTAACTTTAATCGTCGCAACTATTGATGATGAGCTGAGGTACTTGAATTGATCTCCCTCAATATTGCATTTGATAATAGGCTGTGTCAGGCATTAAGGAAGAAGCTGAATTTAATAGGCCCGCTTTCAGTATACTCAGCAAAACAATATTATCTGGGTACTGCATATCGATGCTGGATACGCTGAACGACACTTCAACTCTCTCCTCCCCTAAAAATGACACGTTCATCTTTGCCATGATCAGCATCGCTTCGGTTGTGAAAATGGAGAATAGCCAAAAGTAAAAGGGCAGTTGAGAGGGTGCTTTTCTACCTTAACAGCAAACTTGGTTTCTGCAAAATAGTGATATTATATTCAAGAATCCCACGGCTTTTTCTCATCGTTAGGCGATGTACTCAACTGAATGCAGGTTTAAAGTTAATGAAAGGGGCAATTCATGACACCCAGAATCGTAGGCATTGCTCAATAATTCCACAAAGTTTGATCAGGGCAAGTGTATCCCTGTGGAAACCTGGGCGAAGTCGCTGATCAGCAGCATGCCTCAACATCATCCCTTTTTAGGATAATTCAGAACAGCTTCTAGAGAAGAGAGTGTGATCTAGTCAGTTGCTTACCACCCATTAAATATAGAGACTAGATAGCGTTTTAAGAGCGAACTTGTAATGTCAATGATGCAAGATGAAAGGGAGTAGAGCTATTCAATCATTTCAGTTCGTCTATATCAAATTAACTTGGATTGGAACTACACCATAGGTCTTCTGCACCTTAAGGTTGGATTTCTAATTTTTTTTGATAAACCTCAATTAATGACGAATTTTAGCAGAAGAATAACGCTAAATGAGAGGAATCTGACAGACATCTGCTGATGAGCTGCTAGAAAAGCACAATCCATCTGAAGTGTTCCGTTTCACCACATCATTGTTGACACTTGGCGTTGTGGAGGAGTACAGCTCGAGTCACCCGCTACCGTACAACCGTCTTATACCCCTTGAACTGTCTCTGTAACTCCCTTTACTGGCTGGTTATCGATCTTTATGATATGTCTTTTAGCTAACGTTTATTGTCTCGCCCGCAGCCGTACTTAACAGCATGAATGATAAGACTATCGACTGGATTCGAGGGCATTTCAAACACTGTTACTTCCACAGATGCGACAACGCTGAAATAAACCATGTTATCTAGCCTTTGATATTTCATAGATTACTGAAACAAGTGCTGCATTACAACCGTACTTGGTCACGTTTCTGGTCAGCCGACCGACGTGTATGCGAGTCGGCTTTGGAGATGCTGATCGTCTTGCATAGGTCCTATCGCGCTCTCCACGCTCTCTACGTTCTCTGGACGGCGATCGGTTTTCCTTTTCGGCCACTACGGCGACAGGGACAGTCGGAGACGCCGCTGGAGCTGTCTCCGTCACGTCCATCTTGTCTTTGTCCGAAACACGTTCCGCGACGTCTGCAATTTTTTCGACAGGTGGCGCTTCACGTTCTGTACCACCGCTGCCCTTCGTCGACTCACTCCGCGGACGTACCTCCTTCACAACCCTCTCCGGCTCTTTCACCTCCGGCGGTGGTGCATGGCCTCGCTCGCTCTCGCGCGGTTCCTTCTCCTTTTCCTCGCTACGGTCGCGCTCCTTTCGAACCTCTGGCTCTCGCTCACCGCCACTGCGGCTCTTCGCGCTGATCGGTTTGGCGGCAACCACTAAAATGGCATAGTTATTTTATTATTACAATATTATGCAAAAATCATCGACAGAAACCAAACAATGAAATTAAACAACATTTCTTTGCTGGAATTACGCTCACCGGGAGGCGTTCGCTCTTTAGGAGCAGGAACGGATTCTCTACGACGTTCAACAACAGCGGGCGGTGGAGACGAAGCTCGCTCAGGCTTCTTGGTGCCGGTCGACTTTCCTGATGCGGTATGACGCGGTGAAGGAGAACCGGACACGGACGATTCCGAAGTGCTACTAGCCGAAGTGGCGGACGAACTGCTGCTACTGGTGTGAGAAGACGAGTCGCTACTACTTGACTCAGACTCGGATTCTGAACTGAAATTAGAAAATGATCATCATACAACGGAGCATAAATTTGATCGTCAAGACGATAAATATCAGTAATATGCACGGTTCCACCAGAGGTGATCTTGTACTAGTATCAAATTATAGCGGTGCAAAGCTTATATAACGGTCTACAATAAAAATGCGTAAGAAAAATATCTTCTTCTTTTTAGCATGTTCCCTTTAATATTGGTCTGTTGCTTGACTCGATCGACTCCACATCTTTCTGCCTTTTGTCAGATGCTGTAATCTTCGGTCACTTATCGTAGTTTCATATCGTTCTTTATGACATTGTGCCCATTTTTCTCTCTCCACAGTATAAGCGCTAGGACAACATTTCCAATGTATTCGACGGAGCCTGCCTTACATACGCTTTGGGTTACACCTACAGATTCTTATGAAGGTAATCGTGCTGTGATCCTTCTAGGTTTGCCATCCATTCATCTGAGCATTGACATTTCCTCCAAGTTCAGGTGTTGTTCTTGACTCTTCAGGGTAGCCAAACATTAAACTTTGTACAGAAATAGTGGTTTTATTGTCATTCTGTAATACTTTCCTTTCATTTGATGACTGCACAGTACGCTGCTCACCTCTCTCCATCTGAAAGTTTTGGTTTTTTCGATCAGTTTCTTAATTCGTCGTTGATTACTGCATTATCTTGAAAGATGAAGCCAAGACACTTGAAATACTGGGTTGAGGAAACCCACACAGCGCTACTTTCACTGAGAGATGGCATTCCATGTTTTCCTTACTGAGATCCCAATATATTTCGACTTGCCTCTGCTGATCGGAAAGCAATTATTTTCCTGGGCTCTTCACCATGTCTCGGCTTTTGCTTGTATCGCTTCTCTGCTTAGCGCTACCTCATCTGCGTAGAACAAGTAGTAGGGAGCTGCTTCCTGAAGATCATTAGTTGTTCACGTTGGTCGATAACAAGAACAGATATGGATTCAGTGTTGAACATTGAGGGGCTTCTGCTTGCAGAGGAGATTCTTTTGTTTCGCCGCATGTAATTTGAACTACTGTTGTCACTATCGCACAAATTCTTAATAAGCCTAACATTTTTAGCACCAACTTCCTTCTCATGCTCCATCAAATTCTCTGCATCGGAATTAGGTCAAAAGATATCTCCAAGACCATGTGACTGTCTTCACTGTCTTCTCTGTGTTTTCAGGAATGAGGTTAAGACAGTATATGTTATGATTTAATAAAAAATTCAGATTTTGTTCCGCTGGACTCGTATTCTCACCCAAAGACTTTTTGCGTTCGATTTGGCAAATAAACTTCTTGTCTTCTAACTTACAGCCTTCGTCTTATGTTAACTTTACGCAAGTCGATTTGTCATGAGCCACATATGATCTGCTTATGAGATACCTGATACGAGTTACTTCAGCCCTGTATGACAATTTAGTTCCAAGCAAGGACTGTCGCAATATTAACATGCAAATTTCCGCATGTACTCAAAGAGGGTATTCTGCCACCCTGACGTATTACGTCATCTGATGATTCGAAAGTTATGAATTCGATAATATACACGTTTGAGAGACAGCCGCAAGGTAGTGCTATTGACGTAACTAGCTTAAGAAAAGCTACCTTTTCGCGCATTTGTTCATGACCGTTTATTACGGATTTTTGGTACATTTCGATTCAAGCTGAAGTGAGATCAAGTAATGTTAGCGCAGAACTTCCAGCCATTCCTCTAAGGCGGTAACTGGTAAACCTTGGTACAAAGGATGGGAAATACTGAAAAAAGTTTTAGTTTTAGTCAGACCTCCATTAGGGTTGTGTGCGGGAGATGGGAAGAATAAAATTTTTTGGTATTTTGGTAACTTTTCAAACTGCATTAGATCCTTTATTTAAAGAACTTCTAGAGATGCTCGTGGGGAAAGGGGGAGGCGATGCCACTCTAACGGTAAACAGGGTTTCAGTTAAATACTGGTTATGATAAACTGCATACTTATGTCGAAACGTACGAAATTATTCATTAAATACAGCGTTTGGCAAAAACCTAGATTTTACGGTAATTAAGCAAAGAATGATACACATACCTGTCTTCCGTTTCGCTGCTTGACGAAGATTCCTGGCGTCTTCTATCATGACGATCGTACCTCTTCTCGCGGTCGCGGTCTCTCTCTCGGTCACGATCCCTGTCGCGGTCTCGATCGCGTTCCCGTTCTCGTCTGTCGTCGTACTCTCGACGGTGCTTGTCTCTGTCTCGCTCTC